TTCACTTGTTTAGTTAGTGTTATCCCAAGGTATTTTATATTATTTGTGGCTATTGTAGGTATCTGTGTTCTTTTAGAGTCTGAAAGACATCTGTCCAGGCCCTTCTGGCTTTTAGTGTCTCCGTTGAGTTGTCTGGTGTGATTCTCATAGGTCTGCCTTTCTATGTTACTTGGCCTTTTTTCCCTTGCTCCTTTTAATATTCTTTCTTTGTTATGTATGTTTAGTGTTTTGATTATTATCGGGAGAGGTGATTTTCTTTTCTGATCCAATCTATTTGGAGTTCTAAAAGTTTCTTGTACCTTTAAAGGCATGTCTGTCTTTAGGTTGGGAAAATTTTCTTCTATGATTTTGTTAAATATTATTCACTGGGTTTTTAACCTGGGTTTCTTCTCCACTTATTCCTATTGTTCTTAGGTTTGGTATTTCCATGGTGTCCCAGATTTTATGGATGTTTTTGTTAGGAGTTGTTTAGTTCTAATATTTTCGTTGACAGTTGAATCTATTTCTTCTGTTGTATCTTCAGTGCCTGAAATTCTCTCTTCCATCTCTTGAATTCTGTTGGTGATATTTACATCTGTTCTCTCTCTCGATTTTTTACATTTTTTTATTTTATTTTACAATACTATTCAGTTCTACATAACAGCCACAGATTCTCTTGTTCTCCCCCTTCCTGCCCCCCTCTTAAATAGGTTTTCCATTTCCTGAATTCCCTCAGCTTGTGTTTTTGTTTTTGTTTTTGTTTTTTTGGATTTTTTTGCTTCTATTTGGATTTTCATGCCTTGAGTAGTTTCCTTCATCTTTTATTCCTTGTTTGCTTGTTTGCTTTTTCATGGCTTTCTTATATTCCTCAAGGTATTTGTTGATTTCCTCCAAGTTTTTGGTTGTCATATTTTTTATTTCCTTAGGGGAGTTTTTTCTCTCCTCTTTAAAGACCTCTATCATCTTCATGAAGTTTGTTTTAAGATCATTTTATTGTGCTTTGGCTGTGTTGGAATAGTCAGAGATTGCTATTGTAAGATAGCTAGGCTCTGGTGGTGACACATTGCCCTGGCTGTTGTTTGTGTGCTTACACTTACGTTTAGGCATCTGGATTTGGAGTGATTATAGGTCTAGGTGTCAATTTCTGGATATGGCTTTGCTAGATGGGTGTTTTCTTCCTTAGTTTCTGTTTCCTCTCTGGTTGTCTGGATCCTGTGGCCTGTGGTTGAGCAGAGGGTCTCTACTCATGTTGGAGGCTGGACTTCTGGTGACCCAGATGGCCTCTGGTCCAGAAGGAGTTGCTGCCCCAGTTTGGGGCTGCAGTTCTGGCTATGCATGCCTTCTGATATTGCTTGGGGTCCTCTGAGGTTCAGGATGCTGGATTGGCTACTCCTGGGGTAGGAGGCTTCTGTCTGGTTTTCATGGAGTTGTCCTGTTCTCTGGAGTTTAGGATGCTGGTCTGGCTGTTGGGGATCAGGATTCTTGCCTGACCTCTGATGGGGTGGAAGACTTCTGCCAGAGGTGTGAACGTGGAAATGGTAATGAGGGGGGGGAGAGTTGGAGTTATGCTAAGTAAGCACAGGTAGTGTAGAAAGCAGTATTACCTGGGGTTGAGGATGCTGGCCTGTCCTCTAATGGGGTAGAAGATTTCCACCAGAGGTGTGGGCTGGGACATGGTAACAAGTATAGGAGAGCTTTTTTTTATTCCCTGAGAAATGTGTACATGTTTTGGTCATATTCACCCTTCTTTGCCGAACTCTTCCCAGATCTATGCCATTCCCTTCCCAACCAACTTGGTGTCCTTTTTGTTTTGCATAAAGGCTAATTTGTGCTACTCAATATTCATAGATATGTGGCCTTCCACTGGGGTATAGTCAATTTACCAGTAACTGCACTCTTAGAGAAACTGAATTGTTACATGTTTAACAGCTGACTATTGCCTATAGTTCCATTGCTAGGGGTGGGATTTTAGCCACACCTCTCCTCTCCAAGCTGGGATGTGATCAGGCTTGGGCTTGCACAGGTCTCATGCATGCTGTCATATATGCTGAAAGTTAATATGTGCAACTGCCCTGCCGTGTCCCCAAGACAATTTCCTTGATGTTAGCCTCTGGCTCTTACATTCTCTCTCCACAATCATCCATGAGTCTTTGGATGAGGAGTTGTAGTTTTGAGGGGTCATCAAGGACTGAAAAGTCTCTTATGTTTTGTCTTTGGTCAGTTGTGGATCTCTGTGTTAATCACCATTTACTTCAAGTAGAAGCTTCTCTGATGAGGGTTTGGTGATGCATTAATCAACGGGTATGCCAATAATTCATTAGGAAACAGTTTAATACTATGTCCATTTTGCCAAATAATAGTATTAGGTTTTTCCCCAAGGGCCTATAACCTGTCTACCCACAGGCTTTTGGCCTGATTGTGGTGATAGGTATGGGTTTTATCTTGTGAAGTGGGGCTTAAATCCAGTCATAAACTGGTTGGTTACTCCCATCACTTTCATGCCACCATTCTATCAGTGAGAATGTTATTATATGGTTAATAATAATTACTCAGGCCAGTTCTTATTGTAGCTGACAGAGTTCACACATGGTTAAGTTTAATCATTACTTTTGTCCTCTGTTAGTATGCATAACATCTTCTAGTAAATCAAAAGTTAGCCAGTAGGAATGGAATTTCCAAGTCAGCACCACTTGATTTCTCCATGTTCTATGATTTAAACTTATTATATCTTCAAGTAATATGAGCTTACTATCAAGTTCTGGAGGGTAACCAAAAGTGCCATCAGTCTTTGTCTATGGGACTTCAGTGGCCAACAAATCCAAAAGAACTAGCCCTATCTAGGGACTGGGCTTTTTGTTTGTTAGCCTCTGGTATCTAGTAGGTGCACTGTTGCCCTACTATATGATATCTGTATTTTAATATTAAATATGTAGTAGAAAACTTCTTTCCTCATATGTGTCTGTATATATATATATATATATATATATATATATATATATATATAAACTTGTTCAGTAGTAGGTTTCCATATGATGTCTCCTATGGGTCTTTAGTGTTATTTATTCCACTCACATTGCCATACTTCCTCTAAACATTCCTCTACTTTCCCCACACCAACTCAATCCTCCCTCCTGTTGCATTATTCCCTTTTAACTCTTTATAATATGGTATTATTCCCTCCCCCCTCTTCAATACCGTCCACATGACCCCTTAGTAGATATACAGATATTCCAAATAAAACACACCTATCAGGAGAGACAACAATAACATTCACAAATGAGAGAAAACATGTGGTGTTTGTCTTTCTGGGTCTGGGTTACCTCATGCAGAATGATTGCTTCTAGCCTCATCTATTTACCTACAAAATAATAACTTCATTTTTTAAAGAGTTGAATAATATTTCTTTGTCTAAATGTACCACATTTTCATTATCCATTAATAATTGAATGGCCATTTGCATTTTCTGGCTACTATGAATAAAGCCACATTGAACGTTGATGAGCAAGCATCAGTCTAATAGGGTATAGCATCTTTTGAGTAAATGCCTAAGAATTGTATAGCTGAAAAAATTGCAGAAGATAAGAGGAGATCAAAAGAACCCCCATGCTCATGGATTGGTACATTTTATAATATGAAAACAGCCATCTTTCCAAAAGTGATCTGAACATTCAACACAATCCCCATCAAATTTCCAATGTGGTTCTTAAGAAAAAGTACAAAGATACTCTTAAATTTCATGTAGAAATACAAAAGATGCAACATAATCAAAGCAATCCTGAACAACAAAATACCTGTGGAAGATATTTGTATTATTTCTAAACATTTTATAGCTGTATGTATGTTGAGTAATATATAATTAATCTATCAAGCCAGTTAACACAGCACCTCAAATAGTTAATTTTTATTTATAAATTGATCAAACTTATCAATACCCAAAGTCATTATCATCAATCCCAATCAGTATTGTAGGCTACATTAAATAGTATTGTAGCTTTCACAACAGCTAAGGTATAGAATGAATATAAATATCTATGAAAGCACAAGCTTGGTTTGAAATAGAGAATACCTTTCTATAAACTACAGCCACTGTGTTGTGCAATACATCACCAAAAATATTCCACCTGTCTAACTGAATCTTTATACAGTTTGAACAAACTACCACTTCCACTTAATTTCAAGAAAGCATCATTCTGTTTCTGCTTATGTGAGTTAAAATTTTTAAAGTACTCAAATAAGTGAGAACATGTAGTATCTATCTTTCTTTGGCAGTTTAATATACAGAACAAGATATCTTCTATGTGTTGCAAGTAACAGAACTTCGTTCTTTTTAAAGACTTTTTAAAGAATATTCTATTGTGCATAGACCACATTTTTATCCACAAATCCACTGATAAACATTTATGTTTATACTACAGTTTGGTTGTTGTGAACAATGCAGCATTGATATTTAGTGTGCCTAAAAATTTGGTTGGACTAGGTCATAATGATGCACAAAAAAAAAAAAGAGTCTGCTGTTGAGTTCTATAGCTCACTGAGTCATTGGCTTTTGTCTGAGCTTGGATGTGACTACCAGCTGGGCTCCATTGTCCAATTGCCTGGTAAAAATACTGGCTAGGCTTTGTAGTCAGATGGATTAACTGGTTAGGCATTTGATCAGGCTGGATCATCGCAGGTATGCTTTGCCTAAACTGTAATATCATTTCAGTTCTGCAGCCTATTAGAACTACAGATGGGCCCAAAGTATAGGTTGATTTGCTGATTACTAAAAAGTGGAATAGAAAGTATGCTTGATGGGTCTTGCCTCCCTGGCTGACAGTATTTTGGAATTGGGTTTAATGCTTGATTGAGTTACTATTTGATCTCCTATGCCACACAAGTCTAGCTTTCTGTGAAGTCTAGCGTACTGTTGTATGTCCTTGCCAGGATGAGGCTTTGTGATACACTTTGAAGCTGGGCTAAGCAACTGTGTATACTTTGGATTTGGCATTCTAGCTTCTATAGTTTGTCTAAATAGGCTCTTCCTCCCTGTACAGTGCCTTGGAGTAGGATCTGTGTCTGGATATAAGGGATGGACACTTAAGAAATCAAGCTAGATTAAGTTCCTACAACTTTTGAATACAATGGATCTTGCAGATAGGTCATGCTTTTGCCTCACACCTATGACTGAGTGTCACAACTATAAGGGACACACAATTACTACCAATATCATCAGAGTTATCACTGTGATCTCTGCACTTTTTCATTTTTGTCTGACCCCAGGTTGTTTAGTGATATTCCTTTCCCCAGTGTTCCTGATGTGGTGTGATAAGAGTAAGTTTCCTGAGATGAGCCTCAGAATGGATTCTCTGAAAGAAAGCCTTGATTTATTTCTCCTAATGTAGAAATCATGTACTCATCAGAATCATCACTTTGGGGTACTCTGCTATCATGGTGGAGAAGGGAGAGCAATCCTTCAGAGTAAGAATAACCCTGCAAGCCTTCTATTATAATTTTTACTAGGTCTTATGATCAACACACATTTCTCTAGCCTATTGCCTAGTTTTGACATTTTCACAAAGATGTTCTTAT